TAGTAGCTCTAAAGTTGGCCAGAAATCAGGGATTATGGACATCATGAAAGCTGCACAGATGCTGGATAAAATGGGATGGAGGGAGGGAGGGAAAGGTGCTCTGCCGTATTCTGAGAAAAGGACATTGCACGGTCAAAATGTTAAATACCAGTTTGTTTCTTCTCTCCATTCATGGCCTCTGACATTACTCATGGTTCTGTCCTTTCTGGTGTCATAAAGTCCTTGGCTAACTTAAAAAATAGTCTGGTTTCTTCTGGAGCCAGTAATATATTACTAGAGAATGGGGACAAAATAATTAAAAGGGCCTAATCCTGATCAGTTTGAGCTGCCTTAAGCTCTCTTGGGAATGAGTGGTTAGCACCTCTCTGGATCAGGCCTGTTCTTGTTATGACAGGAGATGCAGTAACATGGTGATGCATACCTACCCTGGGCTGAGAATCTCACTTCACCTCTAGCCTCTCTGTATTGCCAGGTAAAAGAGCCCGAGCAGCATAAAGGAGCTCTAAGGGTATGTGTTCACTAGCCCCCTAGTCCGAACTAGGGAGGCTAATGTAGGCTTTCAAAATTGCAAGTGAAGCCTGGGATTTAAATATCCCGGGCTTTATTTGCATGTTCCCGTCCGGTCGCCATTTTGAAATTCCACTAGCCTAAAGTAACTGCCCGCGGCTACACGCAGCAGTGAAACGGTAATTCGAACTAAGTCCTTAGTTCGAATTAACTGTTACAACTCATTCCAGGAGGAGTAACAGTTAATTCGAACTAAGGACTTAGTTCAAATTACTGTTTCACTGCCGCGTGTAGCCATGGGCAGTTACTTCAGGCTAGTGGAATTTCAAAATGGCGACCGGACGGAACATGCAAATAAAGCCCGGGATATTTAAATCCCGGGCTTCATTTGCAATTTCGAATGCCTACATTAGCCTCCCTAGTTTGAACTAGGGGGCTAGTGTACACATACCCTAAGTGTACATCTGCACTGCAGAAAAAGTGGAAAACACATGGCAGGGTCTCAGAGCCAGAATCTGGCTTCCTCCATGGCACTAAAAATAACAATGTAGATGTTCCTGCTTGGACTCTGAGATGTGCCCCCTTCCTCATTAGGCTTAAGAACCTGCGTGAGAGCCTTTACGCGACTTTTTTTAGCCTTGGAACTTGAGCCAAAGTCACCTGTAGAACTGGGTTCTGAGACTTGTTGCCACATTTTGTTTTGGATTGTGCAGGGACTTTTCTCAAGGTAGACATAGGCCAGAAGTTTTCAAACTGTGGGGTCATGCAAGCACATTTTGGGGGGCAAATGCAATATTAGGTGGCTTATGCTAGTCCCTAGCATGAAGCACTACCTCTACCCCGATTCACTTCAGCAGGCCACCCAGCCTGTGGGTCAATGTCAACATCTGCTGTGGCCTCACCGATTTCAACGCCTAGCAGCACCTGCCCCCTGCACTGGTCCATGCCCAAGGTAAAAGCAGTCCATTGGTGAGTAAACCTTGGCTGTGTATTTGAAACTTACAGATGCAGGTAATTTACTTGAGGTTGTGTTAAAGTCCATGTTAAGCTTATGAACAGGCCCTCAATCGTACTTCTGCACGTGTCTATTTTTGCCTGGGTCAGCATGGTGGGGAGGGGAAGCTGTAACCAAAAAATAACCCAGAAGATTTGAAAACTGCTGATTTAGATATACCCAAGAAGCCCCAGATCTAGTGAGAGGAGAATTCCCCTGCTGCTAGCTCTGAGTCTAAGACAGTCAAAAGACCTCCTTATAAGCCCTGAGAATATGGAGCAGTTTAGTTGTAAGGAGTCAGCATGTAGTGCCGCAGAGGTTTGGGCTGCATCGTACAAGAAGCCAAGGACAGCTTCTGGAATTTAGGCAGTGTCCTTCTCCCCACCTATGTCTTATTTACACCATGGATTTCTGTGGCCCCTTTCAGAATTGGAAGGATACAAGGGTTACATAAGGCCCTTAATTTATCCCACCACAGTTCTGGGTTGTTTACAGAGGCATAGCACAGAATCTCACCCAGATTCTCATATTGCTGCCTAGGAGTCACTAAATATGTACTAGAAACTAACTGCTTATCATGTAGGACTTTCATTGGCACTGTGCCCTCTGGCACAGATAAGCATATGTGTATACTCAGACACATCTCTCCTTTCCTCTTCCTATTATACACTCAATCGCTTTCCCACCATACACAACAATTACATGCAACCCCAAAACACAAAAACAGATTAGTAACACTCCCGCCCCCCATCCAAAGCAGGGATGTATTGGTTCCTGTCATTTAGCAGGTGGCAGTTGGACTGAAGGTTAGGCTGCTTAACCTATGACAAATAGCACATTTACCAGTGCTCCGTCTTCAAATGCTATCCACATGTGTCCCAGAAAGCAGCACAAAACTATTATAACAAACTTCATCCCAGCCTTCTGCAGAGAGGGGAGCAGGTTATATAATACTGTCTTCCAGCTAGAAGTAGGTTGGAATTGAAGTCCGCTGCCAGTACCAGTTCCCTAATTCTCATCCCTGGAATTATCTAGAGCGCTTGCTTTATCCAAGCCATCTGTAATGAACTGAGCTGGGACAGATAAGCTCAGTAATCAGAAAATTGAGGGAAGCATTCCTCGCTGTGATAATCTTGTCAGCTGGCTAATATACATGAACATTTTTACAGCATGATGATGCAGGAGGGCTTTTTGCTTCTTTCCCTTTGCTTGAAAGGATTTTGGCAAATAATGGGCGAATACTACAATGTAGTTTTCCAAAGAGGGTTTTCACTAGACCCTCTTCCCTCACATCTTTTTCCTTTGCTTTAACCCCAGATATAGCCAAAGGGATGGGACTAGGTATGGGAATCAGGCCTTTTCTGTCCTTTCTCTCCTGTCTTTAGCTTTAATGCTGCCATATTTTTCATGTCTTTCTTGGAGCGCACAAGTGTATGAAGATCCATTATGCTGGAACTTTATTTCTGGCAGAGCAATGTGATTAGGCATAGCTCTGCAATTGAATGCGTTTGCTTCCTACCCACTCTCCCTTTATTGTAAAAGAAAGAAACTGGTATCAGCTGGCTGCATTTGGACTCCGTACTCCAGTGCAAAATTATGATGCTCTACAAGTCTAATCAGTACAGTTGAAGGGTGCTGTATGTTAATGCGCTGTCTTCCTGATGTTGAATGTTGAGCCTCAGTGTTCATATGGTTTGCATTTCTAATTAGGGTTGTTTTGCTTATTATTTCCCATGTAAATGAAAAGCATTGTGTCTGCCTATAGATTATTAGAGGAAGTTAGTAATGAGAAGATACAAGACAGATGCTGAAGGAAGAGCCAAAGTGTGAGGAGAAGAATAGGTATACAAGAACAGACCATGAAGAATGAGTGGGCAGGCTGGGAGGAGATATAACAGGCATGCAGAGTGTCTGAAAGTTATACTCAGAGCTGTTTGCCTCTGCTTAGAATGCCTGAGGCTTTTAGGATAGTAGTTTAATAGTAGGTAAAATACACTATTTCTCCCACCCCTATACATGGACTTTTGAGCACTGGATGAGGGATACAGATTCACATAGCCAAAGGAGGCTGAAGCGATTTCAACACATTCCTCCCTCTGCTCCCATCCTGACGATAATAGGGCCTGGGTAAAAGATACTCACATGCTCAGGTCATGGCTTGGTTTCCCAGCCTAAAGGGGCTGAGACAAACTGTTTTCTTAATTCATCCATTCTTTTTCCCTCATCTTGGCTGAGCAACTTGTATCTGAAAGGGCTAGAAATGTTCCCCTGACTGAGGAGAGCAATGTAGAAGCCTTGGAGTTGGACTGGACAAAGCAGTCTGATCAGCTTTTTTCATTGGAAGCTTCTGGTGCTAAATGTGGTTGCATTGCCGGCATAGAACTACAGGTGCTAGGGAACTCTTAGTTTCATGCAAAGAGTTCTCTGCCTCAGATTAGTCACAGAGAAATAGATGAGGAAATATTCAGAAGAGGAGCAATGGCTCCACTTGAACAGTATCAGTCCCCTTTCCCTCACCTGCTCCATATAGTCTTCAAGCAAATGTTAGGAAAGATAATTAGAGGTGTGGCAAAAGAGGGTGTATTAGTTGGGGGTTGTGGTTGGCACATGTAAAACTGTTGTATTTCACAAAATACGTTAGAATTACTTCTATACTGAGAGGGCCCTGGCTCTGGAGTATGTAATGGCTGCCTCCCTGCTGCTTGTCTACATTGTATTATGAGGTGAATTTGGTTTTCATTTCTGTTGTATCGCTAAGGGTACATCTACACAGCAACATTTTAAAATAATGTAGTCCGCTTCTACGCAGCAGGCAGTTATTTCAAAATAATGTTGAAGTACTGTCAAGCTGGAGGACTTCTTACTCTGACTCCTGTAACTCTCATTGTATGAAGAGTAAGGGAAGTTGGAGGAAGAAAGCTCTATTTCGAAATAAATGCTGTGTAGACATTCCCAATTTCAAAATAAGCTACGCAATTGACGTAGCTCAGTTTGCGTAGCTTTTTTCGAGTTAAGCCCTGCTGCATAGACACACCTAAGGGTACATCTACACTGGATGGCTATTTCAGGATACCGATGGTATCCTGAAATAGCCACCTCACATCTTAACAAGCTGCCTGTTCTTCAAAATATTTCAAAATAGTGCAAATTGTGTATCTTATTTCGAATTTAGGGTGCTGTGTAGATGCACCCTAAGCTGAAGAACCACACAACACTTGGAAATAAAGACAATTATGTGACAATAGGATCATAGCATTTGCTCTAGTGGGATAGATTATGGGCCATCAGGTTGTTGTAAATGCCTGGTGCTTCAGAGGAAGGTGAAAAAACCCATAATGCATTTGGCCAATTGTACCACTATGAGGAGTATTAATGATAATTTCCTCACTGAAAACTTATTAGAAAAGCTTGTGTGCTATTGTCCATACTACAGTTCTGTGATTCAGAAGTGTCTGTAATGTCTCAGAGAATGAACTAACCTCTTGTCCTATTCCTGCAGTTGGAGGTGGAACTGAAGAGCTTGAAGTCTCAGGAATGCACAGCAGCTCACAGCACCTTCATCACTACTGAGGAGGTTAAAGCGCTCAGGTGAGCATGTGTTCTAGGAGCTTTTCCTTCTATTTGTTACACAGTTGGGGAGAAGGGAAAGAACCAAATTGGTGTTATAAAAGGAAACAAATGCTGCATCCTCCTAATTTATTTTTTCTATTGTGGTAGCAGATAGGAGGCCTGGTCATAGACCAGAACCCTATTTGTACAAGCACATACCAAAGCACATACCGAAAAGACACCCCAGGAAGCCTACAGCATAAGAAACTAAGCTTTAGGACTGATCATTACACAGATGTTTTCCTGATGGGATATTTTTAAAGTAGAATCCTTCTTTGTCCAGTTATCCAATTTCCATAGGAAATTCCAGCAGCCATGGAAAAGTCTTGATGCCTCTTGCCTTTCCTAAATTGTCATTTTCAGACCTTTTTTCCACCTTGGGTTACTCCGTGCTCTGTTTTTTTTAATCTGCTTGACTCTTTTTCACAATTTTAATTCATGTTGCAGTGGCTCCTTAATCCCCAAATTTACTTCTCTCCCCGTGGAACAACTTTGCTGTTTTTTTATTTTTACTGGATCTGGACTTTAAGCACAGGTCCTGCTGGCAGTCATAGAGAGAGCCTTAGAAAACAGCGTTTTATAATACTGATGTGCTTCCAACACTGGAGAGAAAAGACAAATGGTTCCCCTAGTGTGCAGTTGCAGATGGCAGAGGGATACATGTTGTGATTCAATGAGAGAAAAGTTACAAAACAGCATTTCAGCAGAGGATACATAAGCACTTACAAAAGCTACAATGAAACTAGACAGCCTTTCAGTATATTTATTAAAGTATTTACAGCTCCCATTCCAAGGAAGGTGAAACAATAAATACAAAGTGCAGAAAGTTCATCTGTGTCCCGAATGCTTTAATAAAGTTCCTTCTTTTTAAACTGAGCCAATCTGTTAGATCGTGACAACTTGCATTTGTGGTTCTGAGCTGATGTGAGATTTTGGCTGGATTTCTTTCTCTTACTACTTTTATATTCTCAGTTCCATCATTGTGAAAGTATTGTAGCCTCTTAGGAGCAAGAACAAGGTTTTGCAGGAGGCACAAAATTAGTGGCCTGCATCTTATGGATTTTCTAAATTTCCCCTCCCTGCCTAGTTTGTTTTACAGCTCTAGAAGTATTATTCAGTATTAAAATGGAATGGATTTGAAAATAACCAGTGTTCAGCTAAGATGTTCTAATACAATAGAGAGCTCTAAAATTGACCTTCAAGATGTATTTCTCAGGTACATCTCCCACAAGGTGGAGGGGCAGAATTTTGAAGGTCACCTTTCACCAAATCATCTTTTAAGGAGATGATATTGTAGGTCATACTGTACTGTTGTTTCCTACTTCCATGAGGCTGAATCAGTTATTCCTAAATCTTTATTCATGACGTGAATGTACGTTTGAGACATTTCTCCAGGAGGCATATAGGACTTTCCTGAAGCATAGTGTTTGTAGTGCTACAGGGTGTTAAAAATCTCACAAGCAGCAGTAAAAATCATCCCTTATTCTGATTAATATTATGCTTCTGTATCAGTAAAGCCAGCATTCTGTGTGCTGTCTTTTGGGAGCTGGAGACATTCAGAATGTTTCTACAATAACTCTCCAGTCTCCCCCTCTCTCCTGGTTAGTATGGACTGCAGCACCCTTTCCATTTAGGAGCAATTCTAGTCTCTCTCTTTTCACCTCCATGATTCATTATTCAGTGTTTATCTTCATTAAACAGCATTTGCCATCTATTAGCCGAGCAATTTCAAGGACACTAGAAAACAAAACTAAAGAGCTAGATTTCCACATAATCCAGGACTTCATGACATTGCCGATGCTTTCCTTACAATGGATCTCACTTGTCACTTGGTCCAACTTTTCCCTGATTTGTAAGCCTACCCTCTGAACCTGGGCAGATTTCTCACATGGCACTTTCAGTTCCCTTCCAATTATTTTATTAGTGAGTGCCAGCAGTGTGCTAGGTTCTCTGCAAGCAGAAGCCCCTATTCTGCTCTTAAATACATGGTAGTCTAAACATAATTCCAAACAGTGTGTTCAGAAGCATAACTCTGCTTCTTTGATTTAAACTATTCCTTAGAAATCAAATAGAGTGTCCCAGAATTGGGCTGCTCCCCAGCAGAGCCATTTATATTCTGGTATAGTTCTCCTGTGAGGAGCAATAATTTGAAGGCAAAATTGAAAGCTATATCAAATTAAGAGGCTAAGTTTCTGGGACTTCTCAAAGCAGCACCCTCTACTCCCTTCTGTCTGCCCCACCACACACATACCACAAACACTTCCAGGATAACACATTTTCTGCAGCTAGGGTCATCTGAGACATTTGACCCTTCAGATTTATTATAAGATTACTTTTGGTAGATTCCTGGTGTAGCTAAACCTTTCTTTAGGTGGAAGTCTGTCATTGAACCATTTTTTGTTACAAGGGTGATGCTGGCGTATTTAGCAAAATACAGAGCATGTTCCAAACCCTGATGCTGGTGATTTAGCAGTTAAGCAGGCCCAAGCAGTATGGCTTCTGCATCGAAGGATGTGAACCTGAGTTTATTTCCTTTCCTATTCACAATTTTATGACTCTTTTTTGCAAGGCTGATGGAACTGGTATAAAATTGCTCACTAAGGCCTTGTCTACAGTAACCTCTGCTATTGATGTAGTCTATGTGACTTCATCTATGCAAATAACGCAGCTGAAGTCAATGTACTTACATAGTATCTTGTGTGCAGTAAGGTTGGCAGGGGCTGCTCTCTTTCCTGGTGGGGTACCAGCATTGACAGTAGCGTTGTTGGAGATTGAGTATCATATCTGCTTAAACATGATAAATCGATGGCTGGTAGATCCATCACCACAGTGTCAGTCCCCGGCGTAATGGCGACATGCCCTTGGGTTTCCTCTTTCCCCTTCTTGCTGCTCAGCATGTGCAAATTTTGTGGGCTGTGGTTTCTAACAGAGGAAACACTGTATGAAGTTCTGTCTTTCTGCTGAAGGCTTCTTCAATTTGGGTCTAGTGGGCAACTTCCTATCCCTTTCTCCACACAAGCAAATGGGCTGCCCTGCTGCTGTAGCTTGTTTTCTTCTCAGGAGCAGCCTACTCCGAATATCATAGCATTTTTTCTACATTCTGTCCAGCAGCTGAATTAGATGGAGAGAAGGAACTGATTTGTGGCTTTAGAATTACCCAGTCTAGGAATGGAGTTGTGTTTCATCTTTCCTGCTTTGGGTATCTCCCATGCATTAGGGCTCAGAATCAGTAAAGAGCTCTCTTACTGTAACACAGGTAAACCTTGCTGATAGACTTTCACAGGACGCCTCCTTGCATGGGAACCAGATATCATTTGTGATGTTTGTCACAATTCCTGAGCTAGCTGCTTTTCTGAGCACTTTTGGTCCTCCTTTTGGTATTCTCTCTTAGGTTTCAGGCCTCGAGTCATCTTTCTTAAGGTGGGATCTCGCTATCTACTCCCTTCTGATTGGAGTTTTAGGCTGCAGGTTCCTGCAGATCCCTAGGATTATTTCAGTAGATCTGATTTTAGTTCAGCACCCATAGTTTTGTTCTCCCAGGGCAATGTAAATTCAACCAAATGGATACCTGTATTTGGAATTTATTCTATCCTCTGCCCTCCTGATATTTAGTTCCTGCAGAAAACACTTCAGCTTGCCCTCCCCCATTTAACAAGGAATACAACAACTAGCCACTATAACATTTGTAAAACCAATATAATAGTCTTTAAATATTTCGCTTGTCAATAGCTTCTCTCATAGTAAACCATGGAAGAACCGTTTGTATGGCCAGCTGCAGCTGGCTCCGTGCAGCAAAGATGACTCGGATGGGTGTGATAAGGAAGGAAAAGAAGGATGGGTTTTGGGGAATGGAAAGGGGGTATCTGGTGGAGGTGGAATCACTATTTCCTCCTCTCCTTCTCCATTACAATGTTAGAGAATCTGTCCCTGTGGGGTTCCACGCCACCAGTTGACACTGTTCCTATTCCTTGTTTGTGGGGTGTCTCTAATCATTAGAGTCTGTTGCCTCCTGCCAGTGGACTTGCAGGAACTAGGAATATGACTGTACTTAGGTTCTTTCCCCATGCAGTTTGCCATTTCAAATTCCCTGTGGCAGAAAACAAGTGAAAGAAAAATACAAACTCTTCAAATTGGAAGATGGGGAAAGAAGTCCCACACTTCATGTGGGAATTATTTCTACTGCTAATGTTTACTGTGGGCCTCCACACACCATTAACCTATAATCCAATGCACCTGCTCTCCTATACTAAACCTACCCACACCAGATAGCTGCTTTACTAAAGGAGCCCGGAAAATTGAAAGAACCCATCAGAAGCATGGGAGAAGAAGGGGAAAGGACTGTGTGCCTCTAGGCATTTCCAAATAAACTTCACTGTTAAAAGCTAACTTCTGAAAACAAATGCAGGGTAGTCACAGAGGACAAAGAAATCCACATTAATCCCCTAAATCTGTATTCACATCCTGTGAATGAGTGAAGGCTTTTAAAAAATCTTTTGTTTCATTTTTCTTTAGTATGGAAAGTAAATTTTCAGTGAGGAGCTTGAAAGACTTTATCAGTTTTTCTCCTTCTCCTCTGGAGAACAAAGTGCTCTTCCTCAGACCTTTTATGGCTCTAAACGTGAAATTCTTATCCACCTTTATTATGTCTAAGGAGACAATAAAAGCCAATATTAATGCTGTCATTCCTCATACCACTTGTTCCCCATAAATCATATTTGCCATATTCTGGAGATCTCATCATGGGAAAGGGTGGTCGATCTATTTAGTTTGTTGACCACAGGGTGCAACAAACAGTGTTTAGGCAGTAACTCGTTTTACTTGGATGGTGATAAATCTGCAAAGGCTATTGTTTTATACCAAATAAATAAAAATAATACATTAAAAAACAACTGTAGTAAAGACTTGAGACAACAGCTGAAGGACCTTCTCAGCTGGAACAAATCTGAACTTTTTCTTTCTGCTGTCACACAGAAACTCCAGTAAATCCTAAGTGTTGTCTATGGATTTAGTGAGTGGGTAGAGTTACAGTCATTCAAAAGAAATTCATGTCCTTGCCAATGCCTATTAGTCACACTTGCTGGAAATCTCTCTGCTCTGTTTCTAACACCGTCTTACTGCCATTGGGATCCCTTAGTAGTGTCTTCTTCACACACACATTTTCTGTCCCATTCAGTAGTTTCCAGTTCAGCAGTAGCTTTTCTACATGGCAGGGCCCGCTTCTCAGATGGGTTATATTGTAAGAGATTCCCCCATCAGTGACAATACTATTTTGCCAGTCACACCTGCGCCATATCTGCCAACATTTTAATCTTGTAAATAAAGAACCTAAGGAATAAAATAGGAGCATCAGTTAGCTCTACTGGACTCAGAGTTTTCTGGAAGGAGAGAGTTGGAGAAATACTTTATTTTTTGCTGCTTAAAAATAGCAATGGTCAGCCTTCTTGCCTCAGATTTTATGGTAGCATCCATCACCACAGCAGGTAAACACTTCCCAGGTCAATGAGATTTGCATGACTAGGTCTCTCGTGAACTTTACGATGTGCCTTTCCTTGTAGAAAGACTTTGTTGGAGATGGGGGGGGGGGGGGAGGAAGAGGGTTCCTTCGTTGTTTTTGTCCTAAATTGGAGCATTATGTCCAACACCAGAGTGATTCCAACTGTCTGGAATTGGAGACACATACATAAGACCAAGATACTGGGGTTCATATACAGTTTGCAGCAATTCAATCAGTCCTGTCAAGAATGTAAACAATTGCATGTTTTCAAGTGTCTTTGTAACCAATCCACTGGTAGATACTCTAATAAATTTCAACAGTGGTTCCTGCACAAGTAAAACTCTGCATTTTATGGTGTCGGTATTTTAGTGAGTAAATATAATTTCTTTCCTCTTCCCACTGAAAAGCTGCATTTGTATTCAGTCTTGGTCAAATGTTAAATCAACAGGAGACTGTACTGAGCCCCAAGTTTTTTCTAGTTTACTTTTTCCTATTCCTCAACTGAAACTATCCTGGATTGTTCTCCTTACTTGTAAACACCTACAGAACAACCTACTTGCTGAGGAAGAGTAACTCTGGTGCACAAATTGAGATGTGAGAATTGGGGATAAAATATATATTCTTGGTACCTAAATAGAGCACAAGGCTGTATGTAGGTTAATATTGCCCTTATACCCACTGGAGAATTCAAATACATCAACTGCGCCCTGCGTGTACTTGCATGAAAAATCTCAGACACAAGCAAGTACCTTCTTCTGGTAGTTTAACTGCCATCTGCAGTGCTCTGCTGCTTTTATGTTATGTTCTTATATTCTCCATTACCCTTCTCTCTTTGCCAGGGGGAAATCCTGTTCAGGAAATATCAAGGAGCACAGACTAGCAATGTTAAACATCGATTAATTGACTAGTCGAGTAACCTCATGAATTCGTATTGGTTAGTCAACTATTCTATAGTCCTCTGTATCAGAGGCAGCAGCATAGGGTTCCAGGCAAGAGCTGGTACATGAGGTGAGTCAGTTTAAAACCCAGCTCCCCTTGCAGACTGGCTTCCTGTCGCTCTGTGCTACTGCCTCTGATAAAGAGGCAGCAGCATAGGGTGACAGCAGCCCCTGTGTGGGTATCTGAGCTCCTGGACTTGGCGCAAGCTGGAACTGAGCCAGGCTGCCTGCCGACCTGGCTCCTAATACACTTTAAATGCAGAGCCGCAGCAGGAGGAGGTCCTGGACCAGTTGCAAGCCAGGACTGAGCTGGGCTGCTGGCCAGCTTGCTAAAAAATTTGCTGGTGGGGAAGGGGAGGGGAGAGAAATGCACGTAGTCTATAGCATTAACCGATGAGCTTTTGCTTATCAGTCAGTCAATCGACTACACTATTGCATCAAGAACAAACTATGGTTCTTTATATCCCCCAAGGAGATCCAGGGCAGTTTACAGTGTCAAACAGGACAGTTGAGGAGTGATTTATAGATAGATAAGAGTACTAATGAGTCTTTAAAAATCTTTCCAGCACTGAGAACAGCAGCCAGTATAGGAGAGAGGTCATTGATCAGGTGTAGAGGAGGGGTGCCAGCTCAGTAAAGGAGAGAATATGGGGATGTCACAGACTTTGAATGTCTTGAGTTTCTTATTCTGACCTTCAGTAGCTGCTATGTTGTTTCCTCACAGAAATAATTCCCTCTTCCCCTGGCATATCCCAAAGCATTAAGTTCACTTTTAATTTTTCCAGCTTCTTCATCCTTGTGCCTGTTCCATACCCTTGGATAACATGCACTCTTTGCATTGTGAGATAGGGGTAACCGTGTTAGTTTGTATCTGCAAAAACAATGAGGAGTCCTGTGGCATCCTAAAGACTAACAAATTTATTTGTGCATAAGCTTTCATGGGCCAAGACCCACTTCGTCAGATTCACTAGAAGGCACGAAATGCAGCTGACAAACATGGAATGCATTTGACAAAGTGGGCCTTTGCCCACGACAGCTTATGCCCAACTAAATATGTTAGCCTTTAATGTGCAACAGGACTCCTCATTGTTTGTGTATTCTTTGTGTGTCTTTCTAAAATTATCAAGTGCTCTACTTAGCTGCTTGAGCAATTCCAGTAGGTGCATACTTGCAGTGAGGAGTAGGTGCATTCCAGCAGGTGCAATTCCAGTAGGTGCATACTTGAATGACTGAAATACCTCGCAAGATGCATCATTCGTGTAGCAATCCTGTGCCTTTACAAACACTTTAAACATTAAAGCAACTGAATATATGTAATTGTGAAGCCATCTTATGAGTAGTAAAGATGTTTAACAGCTACCAGCTTTGCTGGACAAGATTTGCAAATTTTTTTTAAATGCATACATAGTATGAGGAGAAATATTAAGTTACATCTGAAGACGCTGTCATATAGCAATATCTTTTGGCAAAAGGTGCCCAGGATGTTGGAGGTTTATATGTAATGTAAGGTGAGCACGCCTTTCACCCTTTTTACCAACTGGTTTTTACCTAAGTGATGTGTGAGTTTTCAAAGAGTAGAACATTAAGTAGTTTAATTTGCTTTTTTATCTTAAAAAAAGCAAACCTCACACCCACTCTGAACAAACAACACCCCATCCACACCAAAATTAAAAATTTAGCAAAAAACAAAAAGGAACAGACAATTGTACGTGTGACATGGCCAAAATAAAATTTCTGTAGGAATTGTAAATATTGAATTTCTTGATGAGTTGTCTTTTTCCTGCGCATTCTTAAGCGTGCAATATTGTGGTGTGTGATTTCTGTTGAGTCCTCATTTATTCTTTCCAGTGTTGGGACAAAAGCTGGTTTGGGACATTGAGAGTATCGGTGTATTTTCCCCTCTCTTTACAGGTTAAAAATTGAGGAGTTGGAGGCTGAGCGAGGGCATCTAGAAGAAGAGAACAAATCTCTGGAAATGAAACTGGAGAAGCTCACTCTTCAGGTAAGAGGTGGGGCAGGGCCAGAAGGGCTGGACAGCTTGGCACAGGTCTGCCTTGATGGATGGGTATACTGATAAACTTCCAGAGTTCCTTTGACAATCCACAGATCCTTTCTCTTCAGTCTGGGGGAAGGATCCCACAAGAAGCCTAAACCAAACCCATCCCCCACACCTTTATCTGTGTATGATAATGTCACATTGAGATTTTGGTGGTGTGTTCAGGCATGCAAGAACAGATGCTTTTTTTCAGTGTCCTCAGGTAGAACCTCTTTGGGTTACAAGCCTCTCAACTTTTGTCTGTTCTAGCAAACTTCATAGCTATAACAAACCACTGTTGCAGCTGTAGCAGTACGGGGAGATGTTACCATATTTGCCCACTACTCTAGGGTATGCTCATTTATTTTTGATCTGAGGAAGTGGGTCTGGCCCACGAAAGCTCATCATCTAATAAACCATCTTGTTAGTCTTTAAAGTGCTACATTGTCCTGCATTTTGCTTCAGCTACCCCAGACTAACACGGCTACATCTCTATCACTCATTTATTAGGGTTACTCTTATGGAACTAGGGGGAAGGTTAACAATTCTATCAGTGTGCTGCTCATGCTTACTTGTGCTCTCGTATGGAGCTGAATTCTCCCTCTGCCAATTCCCCCTCCCACTGGAGGTCTCCTGCAGGAACTAGGTTAGTCAGGATGGGGTTCTTCCCACCTTAGCAACACACACGGACACTCACACCCACTGACAGAGCACGTCTGAGAGGACTGGGTAATCAGCACTCCCAAGCTGACCCCTCATATGTCCCTGGACTCAGCAGGCTGAGTTTAACAGCAATGCCACACTTCACCCTCATGTGCCTTTGTACTCAGTGGGCTGTATTAAACAGCACTTTAAGCTGCCATCCTCATAAGCCCCCAGGTTCAGCACCATCTATCCCTACTTTCACACCACAATCATTCACTGGTAAACCACATGATGAGCAAACCCCACCGGATTTTGGGCACTACAGGGATCTTTAGCTTGGGTAGAAGAAGCGTAGTTGCAGAGCAAACGGGGAAGCCAAAATAACACCCCTTGAGGAAGAGTGAGCGAAAGAGAAAGGAAGCGAGAGAAGCAACCAACTTAACAATGAAAGTTATTTATTTCTGGGTAGTGAAAATATATATACAGGAAGCCAAACACATACAAAATTAAATCCAACAGTTACAATAGTAAATCTAAATTAAAACTGATTACAAATGTTAGGGCTAGCTAAACATATAACAGTTTACATAGGGCAGAGTCAGGAGGCTATGCGGGAGTGCAGGGGGGAGGAGGAAGAGAGAGAGAGACACCTCATCACTCCGTGGAACTTGCACTGATCAGGGTTCCCAGATGGTGATGGGAGTTGTGGGTCCAGAGGGCAGGAGACAAGCAGAGCAGAGCCCCCAGCATGATCAGACAGGAGATGAAGAAGTCACAATGGAACTGATGCAGTTTAAATCCAGGTATCAGAACAGTTTTTCTTGGGCAAAGGTAGGAGTTTTTATAGGGATAGGACAGTAGTTTGAAGAGAACACTGGATTTGTTTATGGGTAAACAGAGGCGAGACAATAGAGAGTGATCCCACCTGGTTATGGGTGATGTTCCTTGAAGGAGCTCACAGTGCAACTAGGCAGTTTCAGTATTTTGGATGTCAATAAAATCCATTACTAGAATTGGTCTGATAATCACTAATTTGGGTGTGAGCAGGCCTGGGTTCATTAGCATCAGGAGCAGAGATTTCCCATCAGACAGTGCTTCTCGGCTTTCGGTATCCCATAGTTCAGTGCGGTTCCTGCTTTGGAAAAGCTGGTCTCCATTCTGTATGCTAATGGAGATGTGTCTCTGTGCTATCTTCCATGCAGATGAGGCTGGGGTGTTTCCTTAATTCTGTCACCCTTGTCTGAAGCAGTTTAAGTGTGTCTTCCCTGGCCTTTTCATTACTTTGTCTTTGATTCTAGCAGAGGCCTGGGGGAGAGGAATGATTTTCCATGAGTGTCACTCCCTCGCTCCCCAAGAGCACAAGGCGGGTAGGTAACAGAGATGGTCTATAGACTTTGGTTTCCACTCAGATGACAGGATGATAAAAATGCCTCAGTGCTATTTGTTACAGCTTCTACCATTATTACCATTGATACTGAGCAAAGCTCAGTACCTTCCAGCCTTATATGATAGGAGCTATTCAAGTCTGGAATATGATGATGCAGTTTGGAAATAAGTTCTCTTGGCAGCATTTGACACTCTCTCCCCAAGAGAAGGAAGGTATGAAATACGAAATCTGAGTGAAAGAAAAGTGAGAGTGCTGTTTTCTCCGTAGCTCCACAGGATTTTCCCATCTTCTTGCCTAGACTGGTGCTTCAGCTTTTTTAGTCTGGATTCAGCTGTGAAGCCTTCCACTCCCCAAAGGAGGGTGAAGGAGGCTGGCAGCAATATTTACTCAGGCTACTCTTATTTCTGTAACACTCTTGCTCTGTGCAGATGGAGGGTTGAGGGGGTGTTGCATTTAAAGCATCTTCTGTTTCAAAGAATCTGGAGTGAACAAGAAGCCAAGCCTATTTTGTTTTTAATCAAAGGCCATCCTGCTCTGAGCAGTGTTATCGCTCCCTACTGTTCTCTCTGATGTGCGGTACAATCCAGCCTTGTAACATTTCATTCTTTTAATTTTTCTTTCTTTCTCTCCCCCCCTCCCCCCCCCCTTTGTGTAAATTGCTTTATGATGGTAGAAAACCTGCAGGTTTGAAATTACCCAGATTTCAGACAGACCATTGATTTTATCTTGACACCTATTAGAGGCAAATCAAATCTCTTTTTTATTACCAATTCCTGGAGACGGGAGAAGTGACAGCTTTGATAAAGCAGGGAGCTGAGAGCTGCTGAGCGCCTCTGCCGAGTCGTGGTTAGCACGAAACCTGTCACCCAGCTCTCCTTTAATTGGGTTTCTGTCATCAGAAGGAGATGAAAACATTGGGTTTGGTGTTCTGATGCCCCGGTCTCTAGACGTACACAAGAGCAGCTTTGGTTTCAAAGCAGGTTACAACTCATTCAAATCATATTTAATCTGTCCTCGCTGCCTCAGGGTTACTGCCAGCTCTCTCAGCAGTGGGGCATCACCATCCTGCCCACAGTAATTCCCTGCTTTGTTTGGGATTCTCAGACTTACAGTGTTTATAATCAGTATTAGCAATGCCAGTAGCCTAGCCTTGAGTTGCTAACAGCACCAACCTTTTAAAGTCTGTCTGCAGCAGGAAAGGTTCCGAGCCTTCCATGTAGTTGTGCTAACTGTCTTATATTAAACAGAAGTGGGTGGGTGTGGTTATTTCAGTAGCTGGATTTTTTTAATGCTGTGAATATGATGTAATGATAAATATGATGTAATGATAAAGAGACAGAGCATATGTACTAGAGTAGCACATATCACAATAGCACAAAGCAGCAGCAGTGTTCAGAATCCCAGAGTTTAATAAGGGTGTAGTGCAACTCAAGGCTGTGAAGGGACTGAAGAGGGAAAAAATTATTTGGGGAAGATGTCATCTCCTTTGTTGGTTCAAGAATTGAGAAACCAGCCCCACCAATAGACTAGGTGGAGAACTCACATGAGGAGACTCTGTCATGGCTCCTTCCCCATCTGGCATGATAAATGCAGAAGTGGGGGCCAGCAAGTGTACCCCAAAGCCTTATCTACCAGGCTTTGGTATAAAACTTCCCCCCTAAATCTTAAAACCCTAGATTTTGGGAATAAAACTTCTGCTGCCACCACCCAAATATTAATAAGGATTCAGGGGAAAGATCATTTGGGAAATCTCATCCCTACAGTAAAAATCAGGGCACACAATTAACCAATGCCAGGTTAATAACAAGAAAAGAGAAAACTTTTATTATCACAACAATATTCCTGTTGCAAGCATAATGCCTAGATGGAAAAGTAACAAATGATATACTCATGGAGGCACTCCATGGGCCTAGAACTTAGTTACAAAGAAAACCAAAACATCTTTTAAACAGTACCAGACATCAGATCCCATACCCAAACCTTAAACATGGAGAAACTCCATGGGCCTAGAACTTAGTTACAAAGAAAACCAAAACATCTTTTAAACAGTACCAGACATCAGATCCCATACCCAAACCTTAAAACAATAAAACGGATTTATGTAAACTTTACCCTACTTACAGAAAGTGAAGAATTGTTTCTTGGAGAGAGAGAGACATGTTTGTCCCACTCTGTAGCTGCAGAGGAACTCACAGAGACAAAGGAGGGAAAAACCCAAATTCCTTTGTCCCAGTTTGAAAGTCCCACCTACATTCCTATTGGCCACTCCACCTGGCTAGGTGTAGTTAACCATTTAGTCCCGAGGCTGCTGGCTAACCCTCATAAATTATGACAGACCCAGACTAAGTTTAACAGCATTCTTAGTTCTAGTTTGAGAGGGCTAAGGCTTGGGCTTAGTGGGGAGGTAAGGAGAAGTTCAGTAACTGTCTGTGTATTTCTTATAAGCTTGGAGTTCCTTTGAATTAGGAAGTGAACAACAAGGAAAGGAGAACACTGTAGATTAACTCCTTGGGCACCTGAGGTTTCTCCAAATGAAGATGGAGCTGTGCAAGTGTGAGCACTAAAAAGATGTGAATTACTGATCAGTATCCACTCAAGTGAGTGGTTAAATGGTCAGAACTGCTTACAAGGAAAAAAACAGCCTTGCTAACATGAGCGAAGGATGCTGGAGGTGCAGTGGCACCCCCTTGAAGTAGTAATAGCAACTGAATGTACTGCTTTAACCATATTCTTGATTTACAGTTTTGTTCAAAGGCTTTTAGCACCCTCAGGATAAAAATTCTTCAGTGCTTCTGCCTGCTAATGAAGATTCATTATTCCTTACTTGAGTGCCAAGTCCCTAGCAGGTCCAGGCCCACAACTGATTCCTATATAAACACTTCTGTTGACTCTAGGCCCTGCTGTGGATGGGCTATCTGCTACTGAATCCCATTAA